TTTGTTCACTACAAAATTGAAAAGGTGCATATAACATTCATTGTTAAATTTTTTTACTGTATAAAGGACACAACTTGTCACAGGTGCAACCTCAAAACCATATGTGTTGAAATATAATGTATAAACTGAGTATCCTTTGTAATAAGAATAGTACAAGTCACAACTTTCTATACTATACTGTGGTAAAGTTATGCCAAATTGATTGACTGTATACAGTTTAAGACGATAATTATTGCACAGTCCCTTAATGGAAAATTTGAAGCAAACAAAAAGTTTTTGCTATAAAGAAAGACTGGCTTCCTGAGGATGTTTTCTAACCTGCTGTTTGTTAGCTTTCCTGACAGTCAYCTTGGCTTTGCCATGAGAAGCTCGAATTAGGTTGGTGACGGTAAACTGAGGCACGTTAGTCACATCGACTCCTTCGAGCTGAAAAAAATGTTAATGTGACGGATTCATTATTGGAGATGAGTGCTCCTTGTAATGGGCCCCTGATATTAGAACGTGTTGGCTCACAAACCCAGTATGGGAGATGGATGCACCTAGTAATGGGATCCTGATTTGGGAAATCTAGCAAATGGACACTGTGTACCGATGGCATATGGACGCTTGTATCAACGGGCTTCTTATCTGCAGAGGATGTACTGAATAACAGACTTTCAATGCGCACCTTAGAAATTATCTTCTGATGTCGAAAATATGAATGACAARAGGTCCTGTATCGGAGATAAAGGGGGCCCTATCACCAATGTAACATTTCATGCCGATGGATCAAAGTTCATGAAAATACGCGACTATCTTACCTTGATTATCCTGTCTCCTGGGACTATCGCTTCTTCTAAGATACTACCAAACTTAACCCTGGTAATGAATATCCCGCCATTCTTGGGTAGGAAAGGTTGGTCTTTACCTCCAGCAAACTCAAAGTCTAAGTCATCCAGGTGACCTAGGACAAATGTAGACCAATCATAACACTTGCACGCTATATATAATCGCAAAAGGGTTTATCTCAGCAAGTGTAGGGAAGCACGGGTGGCGTAGCGGTGTGAGCRMTCGTCTCWAATCAATGCGACCCAAGCTCGAGTCCCGCCGGGTTCGGTGTTGTATATGAGTAGAGTTGTTTGTTGGTTCTCTCCTTTGCTTCRAGGGTTTTCCGGGTTCTCCGGTTTTCCTCCCTCCGCAAAAATCAACTCCTAAATTCCAATTCGATCACGGAATGAGGGCCACAGGTTTGTTAGTCATTGGCTATTWAGTGCTACCCTCGTGAAAAAAAAGGACGGTTTTAGCATACCTGGTCTTCCGCTCATAAAGCCCACTTCAACCTCTTCTCCCATATCTGTCTCATCCATCATCACAACTGTCGAGTTTGAAACTTTTGATGATTTTGACCCCTTTGAAGCCTTGGAAAACTTAGACATAGTCGAGCTAACTTCTGCAAGTTCTCCTACTTCATCTTCCACCTCGTCTTCAAGGTTAGGACCGCTGTCATCAGAGTCTTCTGGTATTTGTAACATCTAAWGAAATTGAGGAATGCATCATGGATGTATTCCTTACAGTCAAACAACAATCTATGGACAGCCTGCATTTAACACCACATTGCGCTATTATGGCCACTTCAGTTTGTACATATTGTTCAATTGTAATTTGTTCGCAATTTTTGCGTTCTCATAAGATGAAATATCTCCTATCTCCTATTGCTCCTATACAAACTCTGAAGAAGATTTGAGTAACTCCGTTCCTCATGAGGAACTCTATACACGTGCTCTATATATAGAGCTCTTTCCTTAAAATACATTAACTATTAATATTTGATTTTATTAAGCCACTAATGTAAAGGACGAAGGAAGCACTGTGTTCAGCTCCTGACGCTGAAGCGTAACTTTGTATTTTGTGTGTGTATCAACCGTTTACCATATTATCAGGGTGTTTTAAAATGTGAATGACAATTCGCTCGTCAGCTGCTCGTATCAAGTTTAAAGCCACGTAGAGAGGAACGTCCAACACAGGTACATTGCCTATCTGGAAAAGAAAATAGTTTTTGTCACTTTCATGCCAATCCCTCCACCCAGCCTTGATTAATTAAGAGTACCAATCCTGGAGTGTTCTGGCTGTTTTTTTTCTTGAACAAGTGAAGGCCACCTTTGTATGTCCTTTATTCGGACTTTTATCGACTTACTTTGAGTATCTGATCTCCTGCCTCCATGCTTCTTTCTACAGAAGATCCTGGGGTTACTTCCTCAACGTATATCCCTGGATCACCATAGTCATCAGGATCATCAATATCACCACGACCACCCATCATGGTGAACCCAAAATCACCGATCTTGCCTTGAAATGAAAAGATAAAATAATAATAATTAGAAGAAGATCGTTTGGAAGKGTTAGAGGACCTTAGCATGGGGCCCTGTATTTACGTACTTCTTTCGAAAAGGACCTTTC